TTCTGGAAATCTCACTCTTCTTCCAGAACGCGTCGTTTTAAGTTTATTTTCGGATACTGTCGAAGTATCATCGTGTGTGTTGGTTGTCGGGTGAGGTATTATAAGTGTCGGAGTCGTGTCGTTCAATTGTACCGAAGGAAAATCGACGTGGATAGGATTTCCTTCTAAATACGCTGCTTTTAAGCGATCGATGCTGATGCTATCCTTGGTTCCGTTCTTATCGACTATATAGTACTTAGATTCACGTTGAAGAACTTTGAAGGGTCCTTCGTATGCTGATTCGAATGGTCGTCGATGCGAGTCTCGACGAACGAAAACGTGTGTACTATGTCGTAAGTCAGGTTGAACGAAAACATCAGTTGATTGAGGTCGAGTGGAAGCAGGTTTAACTGAACGCATTGCGTTTGTAAGCCTGTTCGTGTAGGAGGTTAGATCCATGTTCATTGAAGAGGATGAAGGATCCACGAATTCTCCTGGAAGTCGAAGTGTCGTACCATAAACGAGTTGAGACGCAGTGTATCCAATGTCAGCTTTCACTGCATTGCGGATACCTAGTAAGACGAGTGGAAGAGCGTCGGTCCACTGTGAAACGTTTGCAGCTGATAGCGAAGCTTTCAGTTGTCGGTGAAAACGTTCTACCAACCCGTTTGCTTGTGGATGGTAGGCGGTCGTTCGGAAGCGAGTGATTCCTAAAAGTGTGGTCAGACGACGGAAAAGATCGGATTCAAACTGACGTCCGCGGTCTGTAGTGATGGTTGAAGGGCAACCGAAGTTTGCTACCCATCGTTCGACGAAGGTGCGGGCCACTGTTTCAGCAGTGATGTCCTTGATAGGTACTGCTTCTGGCCATCGAGTGAAATGGTCAACGCAGGTTAAGAGATAAGAGTATCCATTTGAATCTGGTAAAGGTCCTACCAAATCCAAATGAACATGGTCGAAACGAGCATCGGGAGTTTTAAACGAGCCTAAGGGACATTTATTGTGTCTTATAACCTTAGATTTTTGGCAGCCTACACAGGAGCGTGCCCACTCCCTCACGTCTTTATTCATTCCAGGCCAGCAAAACCTTTCTGCTATAAGCTTGATGGTTGCACGAACACCTGGATGCGAAAGTTTGTGCAATGTGTTGAAGACATTGCGTCGATAATGTTTCGGCACGATTGGGCGATCCCTACCTGTAGATGTGTCACAAAGTAAGGTTTCCTTACCTGTTCCCATCTGTTTGATGCGTAGTTTAAGTGTTGTGGACGATAACTCGTGCTGAAGATCACTGTCTTCTTTTTGAAGCTCGGCGAGTTTAAGAAGGTCGATTCCTTGGAAACTGTTCAAGGAAGTTATACGAGATAAAGCGTCTGCAACTACATTGTTTGCTCCAGAGATGTGTTGGATATCTGAAGTAAACTGCGAAATGTAGTCCAGTTGTCGAGACTCACGTGGAGAGTACTTGTCAGAAGCAGAGCTTAACGCGAAAGTGAGCGGTTTATGGTCCGTGAAAAGAGTGAATTCACGACCTTCGATGTAGTGTTGGAAATGACGTACAGCACAATACATAGCTAGGAGTTCCCTACCGAATGTGCTGTACCTCGATTCGGTGTCTAGCAACCTTCTAGAGAAAAAGGCCAAGGGTTGCCAGGAGTTGTTAACCCATTGTTGTAAGACTCCTCCGATTGCTGAGTCGGATGCGTCTACTGCGATGCTAATGGGTGCTCGGGTGTCCTGATGTGCGAGCATCGTTGCTTTAGCAATCAGTTCCTTAACTGTGGAGAATGCTTTTCGTGCGGTGTCGTCCAAATTAATGGGTTTCGCATTTCCACGAAGTTGGTCGGTCAGAGGTTTCATAAGTAATGCGCATTTGGGTATGAAACGTCTATAGAAACTTACCAGGCCGTTAAACGTGCGCAATTGCTTGACGGTGGTCGGTTCTGGGTAATCCAGAATGGCCGCCACTTTGGTCCTAAGAGGTCGAATGCCTTGAGCATCGATAGTGTGTCCTAGGAAGTCTAACGAGTCGGTTCCGAATTGGCATTTCTGAACGTTTACAGTTATGCCATGTTTTTGAAGTCGTTCGAAAACAAGATCCAGATGCTTGAGATGTGTTTCTCTGTCCGGACTTGCGATTAGACAGTCGTCAACATACGCGTGTACGAAATTGAGACCTCGAAAAAAGTCGTCTATGAATCTTTGGAATGTTTGAGCAGCATTCCTTAGACCGAAAGGCATTCGCAAAAATTCATAGAGTCCGAAAGGAGTTATGATAGCTGTTTTCGGTATGTCGTCAGTAGCCATAGGGATTTGGTTATACGCTTTAACCAAGTCGATTTTCGAAAAGACAGTTGTACCTTTCAAGGTAGCTGTCAAATCGTGAATGTGAGGCAACGGGTAACGATCGGGAATGGTTTTCGCGTTCAATCGCCGATAGTCACCAGTTGGACGCCAATCGTTGCTGTCCTTTTTAGGGACCATGTGCAACGGAGATGCATATGGGCTACTTGACGGTCGTGTGATCCCTAAGTCTATCATGTGATCGAATTCGTTTTTCGCTAACCTTAGCTTTTCGGGAGCTAGTCGTCGTGCTTTAGAAAATACAGGTGGTCCTGTAGTCGGGATGTGATGTGTAACGTTGCTGGTTACACACGGTAATCTCGGCTGCGTTTGTTGTATCCCAGGATACTTATCGAGTAGTGGTTGATAGAGTGGGTCTATCATATGTTTAACTGTGACTGGGGATACTCTACAACCAGTAAAAGAAGTTACGCAAACGGACAAATTAGTGTTACCGTTTACTAGCCTCCGTTTGCGCGTGTCGATGATCAGATTGTGGTGTTGTAGAAGATCCATACCAATGATTGGCATAGAAACATCTGCAACAACGAAAATCCAGTGGATGGGTTTGCGTAAACCCACGTTAAGGTAAACGTACCTTTTGCCATACGTAGCGATCGGTTTTCCGTTTGCCGCATGTAAGTTTAGGGTCGATTCGTGTAGTCGGTCGTTAGGATTTGCTGGGAGAACGCTAACTTCTGCGCCAGTGTCGACGAGGTAGCGAACTCTCGTTGTCACATCTGTGACGAATAACAGACGGCTTTGTTCGCCGGCTACGGTTGCCGTTAACGCGTGCCGGCTTGGAAGTTTCCCGAATTGCCTTTCGAATCAGTCGGTTTCGTGTTGGGAAAATTGCAGGGTTTTCTGCAATTTCTGGAAAACTTTCCATACTGGTTATGATACCAGCACCAGTCTGGGTTATCTGTCTCTCGTGGTCTAGAGACAGATCGCTTACGAGAAATGCTTCTACGTGGTGTGCGCGATCTCTTACGGTCGGTACGAAGACTAAGATAACGCGTGAGTGTGTGACATAAGTCGTTTATACCATTCTGAGTCGTTTGAGGTTTTTCTTTGACTGAAAATACCTCGGTAGTAGATTTCGTAATTTCTAAAATGCGGTCGGCAGATGCAGCTAGCTCGTCTGTGGCGTTGTTCTGGAACGAGACCAGGACTGCTTGCACCTGTTGGGGAAGTTTTGACAAGAAAAGTTGTTTGAATAGGCCTTCGTCGAAAGTTCTTGGGCCTATTACCTCTCTCATCCGTTGCAACATGTCCGTCGCAGAACCGTGTTGCAGGTCGATATTGTTGAAGAGTTGATCTAACCTTTGTCGATCGGTTAGGTCTCCTCGTTTAAGAATCGAGCGTTTTAAGATTTCGTAAGGATCGGAAACATCACTAGTAAACATACTAGGTGTTACGTACCTGTTGAATTCGCGCGGTAGTGCCTTGACTGCTGCGAGCAATTGTGCACGTGTGTCGATCACGCCGTGCTCGGAGAAGTCGGCTTCTGCGTAGCAAAACCAGGCTTCGATGTTGTCGGGCCAGAAAGGCATCAGTTGAAACGAAGGCGGGGACAAAGTCTTAAGCGTGAGTACTTTAGGTGTCTGTTCAGTCATGATGAAGTATGAAGTACGATAATGAACAAGGGGAAAATATATATATCCAGGAAAAAACACGAAAAAAAATCACAATGGTTAAAAAAGTAAAAAAAATAAGGCAATGATATATAAAAATCCCAAAAAGGAACAGACTCACAGTTGCAATTAGGTGTACCAGATCACGTCGGTTTCACCAATGATGATGCCACAGGTATTCAGTGTTTGACAACGCTTCTACCAGTAACACCTTCTAATATATTTCGTTCCCGCCCAGAGAAATCAAAAGACAGAGTCGAGGAGATCGGAAGAGTATATTTGGCGATGACCAATATATCGGAATTCTCTGATCTAATCTGGCTAGCGATTGCGGTTGATGTTGAGCACGGCGTTACCACACGTGATCTGGTGCAGATGCCTGACCGAGCGCCTTCAGCTAGATGAGTCCACTAAAACATATGGTCAGCATCCAATGTCGAAAACTTAGTGCTATTTATTTTGGGGATTTATTTACCGCTACATATGTATTGATAGCTGCTATGAGCTTTGCTTTGGGTATTATTAGTTTGACCGTTGGATGAGTGAGTACAAAAATGTATGAAGACTATGGTGCAGTTCATGCAGAATTCTGGAGACCATTTAGGCATTCGCCGAACCCGTATTGCATGTAAATAAATCGAAAACAGAACTACAGTGACTTAAGTGTAGTCAGAAAGTCGAGTCGTGCTATACTGAGTGAGATAGCAGCAAATGCAAAGCGTATGGTAAACATCAGCAAAGACGGTGATTATCAATGTGGCAAAGGCTTAGAGACTGTAAGGAACGTAACCATTAATAAGATGCAGATGCTGGGACTCAGTGACATCTAACTGGTCCTACCCTTCTGATGTGGTGTGTAATTATTCCAAGTTCATTACATTAAATCCGGCAAGTAAACTAAAACCACTAATGATTAACAGTTGTTTAACACATTATGGTGAGTTTAACTCACAAAACGGTTATGAAATTGTTTGTGTTTCACGATTCTTGGAGTTGTTATAATGCATAAAATCAAGAGTGCATTGTTAATTTGTAAAATCTTTTGATTTGTTTCAAAGGCGGTAATTCAGTCGTCCGTGGTGTCATGCAGGTTTTGACATTTACTTTTCGTTTCTTTTGTCTTTTTTGACTTTTTCCTCCTTCATAACACCATTACTAAGCAAAAGGAGAACCTGAATAGAGCAACGACCTGGGGGAGGTTTTTTGTATTCTCAATTTTTGGAAGCTGGTGTTACAAACTAGATGTTTTTCAGTGACCATAGAAAGTCTTGTAAATTAGCATTAATTATGAGACTAGTTGAGTAGTACAAAAGTAAGTTTGAGGGACTATTTCATCTACAGTACACCATTTTTACATCGTCCGCTAAACAGCATTGGAGATCTGTTGTCGACCTAAATATTCTTCCACCGTTAGTGAATAGCGATCACGCTGTTTTGTCATTCGCGTTTAGAACTAGGGACATGTTATACGATCAGGTTACACCTCGCCCAAATGTATGGAAAGCTAACATATCAGCCATTCAGGAATGCTCTGCTAAGATGGGTTGGTTTGTAGATACTAGCTTATCAGTTGAAGAAGCATGGTCTATATTTAAAGGTAAGTTTAGTCTAGTTACGTCCTCGTTCATACCGTGCCTAGTGCCACGAAGACCAAATAACAATCCACCATGGATAACTAAACCAGTCAGGAAACTTCTTAGGAAAAGAAAGAAGCACTGGAATTTGTTCATCTTTACTATTTATTTATTTATTTGAACACATGAATATTGGTACAAGAGAGCACCAATATATATGCGCCACACAAAACAATGAAAATTCGAAGAGAAATAGAAAAAAAGCTAAGGAGCGTAAAAAAAGAGAACAATAACGAGGAGATTGGTGTAAGGTAATATGGTAGAAATGAGGGAACGGAAAGGTACAATCGGAAGAAATCTTTCAGGTAAGGGAGACACAACCACTTTTTATGAAGAAAGTAAAAGAAGGTTACAGCCGGGTCGCCACTGGCTTCTATTCTGAGCCATATCTGATAACGTCTCTAGCCACTGTGTAGCACCATCTCTCAGACCCCAACCAGAGAGTCGTGAAGAACCAACACACGCCAGTCCTTTGCAGCTTTCTTTCATGCCACGACACCATGTCATGCACTGACCACCTCTCCGCTTCTTCCAACCAGTCCCAGAGTCAGCAAATAATGCACGACGTGGAATTCTCTGGGACGACATTCGGAGAACATGTCCAAGCCACCGAAGTCGGTGTTTCAAGATGGTGACACCAATTGCTGTATCGTCTCTGTGCCCGAACACACGATGCCGAACCTCTGAATTACTGACATGGTGTTGCCACTGAATGTCAGCAATCTTTCGGAGAAAGTGATGATCGAACACAGAGAGTCGTCTAACGTCCTCAACTCGGAGAGGCCAGGTTTCACAAGCATAGAGTAAAACTGCTCTCACCGATGCGTTGTAGATCCGATCTTTTACAGCTAGACTAACATCACGAAGGCGCCAAAGATGGCCCAGATTGGCATAAGCCGCTCTGGCTTTCACTATTCGTGCATTGATCTCATCACTCACGCCACCACCAGGCCAACAATCGTAGTGTTTCTTGACATCACGGCTGCCTTCGATTCGTTGGACAGAACTGTTCTCTGGGATTGTCTATTGAAGAAGGGTGTGCCTGAGAAGTTTATTAACATCCTGAAAGCCCTATATACAAACACCTCAGGTAGAGTGAGGGCATACAACCACCTTTCTCCATTGTTCCATTCGAGTAGTGGGGTTAGGCAGGGTTGCCCAATCTCACCATTCCTCTTCAACTTTGCCATCGATGACATTCTGGAAACAGCTCTGATGAATGTAAGTAATGGTGGTGTGGATCTGTTGCCTGGAGAAAGACTTCTCGACCTTGAGTATGCGGACGATATTGTCTTACTGTGCGATAATGCCCAAGACACGCGATCCGCACTTAATCAGTTGGCAATCAGTGTCCGTAAGTATGGGTATGTGCTTTGCACCTTCGATGTGCAAAGTACTTCTACAAGACTGATAAGATTCTATTCCTGTACTCACCGTGGATGGTGAGCAGATAGACGTAGTCGAGAAGTTTGTGTATCTGGGTAGCTGTATAAGTGCTGGTGGGGGTGTGAGTGATGAGATCAATGCACGAATAGTGAAAGCCAGAGCGGCTTATGCCAATCTGGGCCATCTATGGCGCCTTCGTGATGTTAGTCTGGCTGTAAAAGGCCGGATCTACAACGCGTCGGTGAGAGCAGTTTTACTCTATGCTTGTGAAACCTGGCCTCTCCGAGTTGAGGACGTTAGACGACTCTCTGTGTTCGATCATCACTTTCTCCGAAAGATTGCTGACATTCAGTGGCAACACCATGTCAGTAATGCAGAGGTTCGGCATCGTGTGTTCGGGCACAGAGACGATACAGCAATTGGTGTCACCATCTTGAAACACCGACTTCGGTGGCTTGGACATGTTCTCCGAATGTCGTCCCAGAGAATTCCACGTCGTGCATTATTTGCTGACTCTGGGACTGGTTGGAAGAAGCGGAGAGGTGGTCAGTGCATGACATGGTGTCGTGGCATGAAAGAAAGCTGCAAAGGACTGGCGTGTGTTGGTTCTTCACGACTCTCTGGTTGGGGTCTGAGAGATGGTGCTACACAGTGGCTAGAGACGTTATCAGATATGGCTCAGAATAGAAGCCAGTGGCGACCCGGCTGTAACCTTCTTTTACTTTCTTCATAAAAAGTGGTTGTGTCTCCCTTACCTGAAAGATTTCTTCCGATTGTACCTTTGCGTTCCCTGATTACTAGCACATTACCTCACACCAATCTCTTCGTTATTGTTCTCTCTTTTTTTTGTTGCGCTGCTTAGCTTTTTTTTTCTTTCTTTGTATTCCTCTCGAATTTTCATTGTTTTGTGTGGCGCATATATATTGGCGCTCCCCTGTACCAATATTCATGTGTCCAAATAAATAAATAAATAAACCACCAGCACTACCTAGATACGCGAATTTCTTGACTACTTCTATCTGCTCACCATCCACGGTGAGTACAGGAATAGAATCTTATCAGTCTTGTAGAAGTACTTTGCACATCGAAGGTGCAAAGCACATACCCATACTTACGGACACTGATTGCCAACTGATTAAGTGCGGATCGCGTGTCTTGGGCATTATCGCACAGTAAGACAATATCGTCCGCATACTCAAGGTCGAGAAGTCTTTCTCCAGGCAACAGATCCACACCACCATTACTTACATTCATCAGAGCTGTTTCCAGAATGTCATCGATGGCAAAGTTGAAGAGGAATGGTGAGATTGGGCAACCCTGCCTAACCCCACTACTCGAATGGAACAATGGAGAAAGGTGGTTGTATGCCCTCACTCTACCTGAGGTGTTTGTATATAGGGCTTTCAGGATGTTAATAAACTTCTCAGGCACACCCTTCTTCAATAGACAATCCCAGAGAACAGTCCTGTCCAACGAATCGAAGGCAGCCGTGATGTCAAGAAACACTACGATTGTCGGCCTTTGATAAGTATGACGGTGTTCTAACATTTGGCGGAGGGTGAAGATATGATCAACACATCCTCGACCAGAACGAAACCCAGCCTGCTCCTCGCGAGTTAATCTTTCTCGGGTTTTGAACAACCTACGAAGTATGACGGAAGCTAATAGGTTGGACGTAGTCGGAAGTAAACTTATCCCCCGGTAGTTGTTACAGGAACGAACTGAACCCTTTTTAAAGATAGTGACAACTATCGACTCATTCCATGACGTTGGTACACTCTCTAGTTCCCAAACCTTTGTAAACAACATCGCCAATTCCTTAGTCAAAAAGTCACCACCATCTTTAAAAAGAGCCTGAGGTAAGTCATCTGGACCAGGTGATTTGTAACGCTTTAAGAGTTGGAGTTCCTTGCGGACTTCTTCCTCGTTTGGTGGATCAGTCGTCACCGGCCATGGAGGGCAGGACAGTCTGACCGATGTTGCCGGAGCAGCAGGCCAGTTGAACTGCCCTTCGAAAAATTCTGCCCATCGTCCAAGACGTCGATGGATGTTAGTGATTGGCATCCTGTCATCATCACAGATTGCTTCGCTCACACCAGACTTCTTGCTGCCAGTGGCTCGGGTGAGTTGGAAGAGCTTCCGGTAGTTACCAGATGCAGCTGCTGCTTCCAGCTCATTAGCACGCTCCGACCACCAGGCTTCTCGGTCCTTAAGCAAGCTTTGCCCAATTCCATTACGTAACATCCTTCGTTTATGGTCAAACTCACGGTCACCCGGAGTAGACCGGCGGGCGTCAATGAGTTGTAGGGAGCCTACTGGCTTAGAACAATACAGATCCAGTTATTGTAAGATTAGGAATACGTGTAAAGCCTTAATAAGTAAGACTAGACTATCATACGAAAAACAATTGGTTAGGCATTCTAGATATATAGTCCGAAACGGTTATTCTCGTATATAAAAAGGCGAACTCAAAGAAGCGATGGGATTTCATCACTTTTGATACAAGAAAATCCGTTAATCTTGGCAGAGAATGATGCCGAAAAAGCTGAATCTTTATCGGAATATTTTAATAAAGTATTTTCTGTCGGTAATCAGGAACAACCAACGATTCATCGTGAACGTGACGGCTCGCTGATGGATCCTGTAGTCATTAAGAAAGGTACTGTTTTAAGGCTACTTTAGCATCTCAAACCTGATAAGTCCAGTGGTCCTGATGATATTCATCCTAGGATTATGAAAGCCATATCAGATGAAATTGCTGAACCATTAACGATACTATTTGACATGTCTCTGAGACAGTCCAGACTGCCTAGAGACTGGAAAGACGCTATAATAAGTCCGGTGTATAATGCTGGGGGTAGGGATTTAGTTAGTAACTATAGACCTGTTAGCTTAACTACTGCAGTTGTAAAACTGATAGAGAAAATCATTCGGATATCCGTTCTAAACTATGTTGAAGGGCATAATCTTTTCTCCAGGGCAAAACATGGTTTTCGGAAAAGCCTATCTTGCTTGACAAATCTCATTGCAAAAGAAGATTGGGCTGCTGCAGAGACGACGAAGAGGCAACGACGAGTGTCTCTATCTTTCCGAGTCCTTACTGATCCGTTTAGTCGAACAGCGCACAGATGACTGTCTACTGGGATCCAGTCTAAGAGAGCTAGTTCTGCCCTAGGACTCAATGCCATACCTACGCCGGCGAGGCCACGAGAAGCAGCATCAGGGCTTCCAGATACACGAAGTGTGAATCGAGTTGGTTCTTTATTTTGACATGGTGATGTCAAATGAATGACGCTACTCGGATCCTGTATGCGCGTTTTGGAGACGCAGCACACATCGATGGCTCGAGATTCTAAAGTCCTATCTAAGAAAGTCCGTTGTCCTATTTTGGCACAGTGTTTGGATGTTAAAAGCTCCTACGTGTAGTTTAAAGCGTGGTTTCATGAGACCAGGAATAACGTTCCGCGTACTCGAATCGTTTGCCCTAGCGGTGCGAGGTGATAAAGGGACGTGAGAAGGATTAGTCGTAGAGATAAGAGAGGTATTGGGAGGTGTATGAAGGATTTGAATGTGACTAACTTGGTCTCGTGTGCTGTTACGGGTATGAGGGCTGATGTTCCTTCCCGGCTGCCCACAACGTGAAAGGAGGATCATTGACTAGTATTGCAATTAACAGTCTGTCACATAAAAAAATTTGATTTTAACATTTTCTGCTTTCCATCCATGCAATGTTTTTTAAAGATTCTCTATATTGTATTACTTCTCTTATGTTCAAAGTCTTGGTACTTAGTGAAGGTAGATCCTATTTTTACAGGACTGACATCAAATAAAATCAGTAGCTACCTTACTTTCTCTATCGCTGTCTTGAGTATCTTGTGTGTAAATTATTAATGCAGTGTAAAGTTGCTTGTCCCACATTAAACAAAAGTTATTTTAATTAATCATTTGTTTTTATCCCTTTTCATTTCATTATAATTTTTTTTCAGTTACCTTCAATACATTTCGATTTGTCAATGTTCATAAATCTCTCTAGTAAATAAACCATGACACAAGACGATATGATATATACAATATTACTTATATTGTCCCTGGTTACTGGGCCATTAGTCCAAAAATGTGGGAAATATCGACCTTGGTTCGCGGCTGTTGTAGGGTTTCTTATGTTTTTCTGTTTTGCGGGACAAGCTGTATGGCATTCACTCCTGACATCGTCTGTATTCACATTGGCCTTTATTCTTTTTCCTGCAAGGTAGGCTGTTTAATCTTGATAATAATTATTATCTTAAGATTTTTGCATTACGTAGCTGTTGTATGGTGCTTTGGTTATTTGGGATTTTTTCGAACTTGTCACTATTTCGGATTCTCTCAGGTTACTCCTGTCGCAAATATTGTGCAGCTTTTATTGACCTTACGTGTACGTATTTTCATGTGTTTATTGATTTATAATCAGTTAATAGGTGCATCATTTGAAATAAGTGATAGTTGGCGAATAAACAATCAATTACAACATTCTGATTTGCACCCACAGGATAAAAGCAAACTTGAACTTCTAAAAAAATATAAATGTATCGAGCCTTCTCCACTGATGATTATGTTGTATGCCTATTGCTATATTGGTTTGTTTACAGGTAAGAAGTTTTATTTGTGCTTAATTAAATTTAGCATAAATATGATAAAACGTGTTTCTCGGTTTTTCAGTTCTAATGTTCATATGCACGCTTCTGCTAAGCCAACCACTTTTATATATTGTTAATGTAGAACTTAGTATTTTAGGAACTTTACTATTGACCACTGGATCACCGGTTTATTAATTACTGACGTTCAATCTAGGCGTATGCTCAATATTTCTAGCTCTTGTACAAGAAGTATTTAATGCAATTTTCAACCGGACAGTGACTCGAAAACGTTTAGATACAGTCGAATTTCCACCAAAGACGAGCCGCTGTATAAGTATTTAATGCACAAGCTTGGATATATTGTGATATTGTAATCAACCAACTATTAAGCACCTAATTTCTTGAGATTCTTCCAGGTTGAGGTGTTAATGACCAAATGAAACTAATGGACGTCGATGAATTGACTCAAACAGATGCCGTGTGTTAATAATACCGGCTATCTTGAACTAATGGAACATATCCTATAGATTCAAGTTCGAAAGTTGTGGATACGAAAAGTGAGTATACAATTAGTACCGAATTTACCAGTATGATGTTGTATTTCGTCGAATTAATGAAACGATCTCAGTTGAACCACCACTAGAAATCTGGAAGCACTAAACAGTCACTTCGTCCCAGTGCGAGACTCCTCAGTAGTACGTGTTTACGATCACGTATGCGGGAATCAAACCGAATATCCTCGGTCTCGCACTGCAATATCTTAGGAAATTTTAGCATATATGTTTGTATTATTTTCAAGAAACACTTTACGAAACTCGTTATATTTGTTTTAGGTCCATATTACAATCTGAAAACGTTTGAAGACTTTTGCAATCGGGATCCTGAAACCGTAATAACTGCAGAAGAACCTCTTCTTCAACACCTTCAAGAAGCACCTCCATTCGGTGTAGCTTATTTAATACTTTCTCACTTTTATACTGTTGATGTAAGTGTTTAGTGTTACGATATACGATCGCCGATTATATTTGCTATCTCACTGATAAGGTTTTACATAATATTGACGTAAACATCTTATTCGCCATAAAGTGGTGCAACTCTGTGACTAAATAAAGGTTCATGGGGCATGGTTTAAGCCGTATTTTTTGTTTATGATTTGATGATATTATTCGGCTATCCAAACTCTGAAATAGATAGTGCGAAGTTTGACATATCAGTCCAGTAGTCGAGAATCGATTTATCTCACTACTAATCCACGGCTCCATCCATTAGACGACAAGGAGTATCTAGTAAGTTGAGGTGTGTGTGTGTGTTTAGTGCACGTCTCTCATTTACATACCTACAGCTTCTTCAAAGCTTATCTACATTAGCTTATGGTTTAACAATAAGCCTCCCTGTAGTTAAACCTGTTCACTACTTCATGCTATTTGAAACGTCATACTTGTTGGATTTTATAAAAATGTAAAATTTGCCGACCAATAACTTAAATAAAAGACAAATCTTAGCTCTAGGTGTTAGGGAATTAACTGCGAACGTGTTTTAATTATCTATGTATACAAACGTGATGCGTTAACTTTATCCTGTCTAAAAACACTCAATATTGCTCATAGTGTATAAATCATATCCATAATTATACCACTCAAAGCTTTATATTTCATCGTTTTATATATGCAGTAGGGATACTGTCTGACATGTCTGTATAACATTTTTAATCCTAACCCATTTTTACACCATTATTTTCAGTATGTACGCACTGCAGAATTCTATGATCGACATTTCCTGTATCGATTTTTTTATATGATGGTTATTTTCTTTACCTTCCGAATGCGAATTTATTTTGCTTGGAAAATGTCTGAGTGCGTGTGTATATCCGCTCGTTTAGGTGCATATCCTAAATTATCTGAACCTGAAAAAGGTGAAGGACCAACTAATCTACATGCATTAGATTTGTAAGTTAATGGGGGATTTTTTGCTTTCTTTATTGGAATTTACACAAAATACATGTTTCATTTATTATATTCGTTATAAATTGACTTCACATAGGGTAACATTAAAAACGAGAGACTATTGATCAACTGCTTTAACCTAGTTTAGGATTGCTCAGTAGTGTACATCTACGAGCCCACCAGGTGCGTCTGATAATCTTTGTTCGTCAATGATCATAAAAAAACTATCATGTTTCTGCCCGTTTTCACGATGTGTGTTTTGCAATTAAATGATCATGTTGATATTACTTAAATTAACCACTTAAGTAGATTTTAGACTTCAACAATAAATATATTTTTTGTCATATCTCAATGAGTAGAAAAATTGTATTTCTGACGTTTCGGGGCCTAATGTAGGCCACTTCTTCAAAGTAAATAACCGAAATAAATTACTACAAGTATAAATAGTACAAAGAAAACAATGCAGAATATTTTTATTACAATTAAACTCATAATAGGTCTGAATATGTCGAAGTCAATTTATTCTTAGTCAAGGTGAATTTGTATGGCATGTCACCATTAATTTGTACGTCAGAATTTGGGTATGAAAAGTGTATACATTTGTAATATGAAGTGGTGAGGTTGAGATTGTGTGGAAAATAAATAAGATCAAATGTGATTGTTTGGACAAATAGTTCAGGTTGGATCAATATTCAGGCCTTTCCTATTAAGGACGGAGGGATTTAGGATTATGTGAAACGCTTTAGCTACTCGCCTCTCTTTATATTTGGGAAAACCTGGGTTATTTTGATATTTGTAATATCAACTTGGTGATTATTGGAAATAGCATGTACTGCTATTGATGATTTAACCCGTAAAGTTCACAGTTCTACAGGATTATTAAGCCTTTCTATGTAACTTGAGCATCCCTTGGCACGAGTCGAGATCTCGGGAACTCTTCAATGTAGAACGCCTCGCAATCGGCACAACATAATCTGTAGACAATTTTGTGTAGAGGTGAACGGGATTTTATCTTTAACTTAAATAGAGCGTTTCTTAGAATGTTAGTTGTCTAATAGAAAGCTTTAATTCTGTATGTTTTTGATATCCGTTGTAATTATTCCGTCATACTTTGGCGGTAAGGTAAAACCACAGTACCAATCCAAGATCATTCATCAGGATTGATTTTTACAGAAGGATAGTTTTGTTTTAATATGTTTTTAAGAATATTTTTAGAAAAGTTAATCGTAAGATGTTTATTATATTCTCTTTTTCTCTCAGCTTGTCTTCTGAGGTAATGATCTTGGTCGCTCTTCTGAAAAGATTTAGGGCTAGGGTAATTTTCTCACTGGATGAGTGCGCACAGTTAACATCAATATGCCGATTTGAATTTGTTGGTTTTCGGTATATAGCTAGATTTAGACTACCATTGGAATTCCTTTTAACTAGACAGTCTGAGAATAGTAGTTCATCATATTCGTCTTCCTTTTCGAAAGTGAATTTGATATGTTCTGAGAGCGTGTTTATGTGTTTGGAGAAATTTCTGAGAAGATTATTTTTAATAATGACTAAGTGTCATCTTTATATTTGAGCCACGTGCATGGATTGATAGTGCTGGCAAAAATAAGCGACTCACTGTGGGACATAAATAAATTTGTAACAATCAGACATATTGAAGATCCCATTGCTTTAGTTCTTTCAGAAGTGCACTTGTCTCTGATGCAACTTTATTTTTAAACACTTGAACATTTTCCGAATCGATCTTTAAATATAGTCCCGTTGATAAACGATTAGTAGCTTTTTCTTCATAGTCGTTTTTGTTCATGACCACTGTTGTATCACCTTAGTCAGTTTCAGTAATGACAATCGTTTCATTGCAATTACCCTTGTAACCTGTTTTGAAGCACTCCCGGTTGAATGCACTGGATGTCCGTCTACCGACCTTAATATGAGGTTTTAACCGTGTTTGTCAGTCAGTCAGTCAGCTACAACGTAGGACCAGGCACATATGTGCATCGGTCCAGGTTGCCATACCTCATTAGCACAGCAAGATGAACAGCGGATTCATAGGAGTGGTTAGGTCAAAGGTTGCAATAAGGATATAGTATAGGAAGAAAGAATTAGTTCGTAGACAGAAAGAATGAAGTGATTTTAGTCTCTTAGTTTAAGGGAAGACAGGGAGTGTATACACCGACGCCATTGTGATCGATTCCGAGCCATGTCCCCAAGAGTCTCCAACCATTGGTTACGAAAGTCACGCGGACCCCAACCAAGTAGTCTGCATCTACCAACATGGCTCAGACTAGAAGTTAGTGACTTCAGGCACTGATGCCACGTTTTGGTTTGGCCGCCCCTAACTTTCTTCCAACCATCCCCTACCCCGGTTAGCATTGCACGTCGTGGTAATCGGTGTTCAGGCATACGTAATACGTGGCCCAACCATCTCAGTCGATGAAGATTCATAACCCCATCAACTGATTTACCATCATTCCCTAATACCCTGCGTCTAACCTCGCTATTACTTACCCGGTGATCCCAGCAGATGCCAGCAATATTTCTAAGGCATCTGTGGTCAAATACTAGTAGCTTACGGGTGTCTTCTACTCTTAAGGGCCATGTTTCGCAGCCGTAAATTAAAACAGAACGAACTGCCGCGCAGTATACTCGTCCTTTTATTGATAGACGGATATCTCGCCTTCGTCAAAGGTGACGCAAGTTGGCAAAAGCCAAACGAGCTTTTCGAATCCGTGCTTAGATTTCGTCCGATACCAACCCATTAGGGCTGATCACACTTCCAAGATAAGTGAAGTTGTCAACGCGTTCGACTATTTCACTCCCTATCCTTAGTTCAGGTGTTGACGCAGACCAGTCCTGAAGCAACAACTTGCATTTAGAGGGAGAGAAGTGCATCCCAAACATTCTGGCATTGTTGCTTAGTGCTACCAGAAGACTCTGCATTTTGTCAGCGTCTTCACCAAACAGGACTATGTCATCTGCGTATTCTAAGTCGATAAGTGGACCTCCTGGAAGGAGATCAATACCCGAGAATTCAGTCGACGAGAGTGTTATTTCCATCAATAGGTCTATGATGAAGTTAAACAAAAATGGAGAAAGTGGACAGCCTTGACGGACACCACTTGAGGTTGCAAAAGTAGATGACAGTTCGCCATAAGCCCTGACTCGACTAGTAGTGTTCGAGTAAAGAGCCTTCACAAGGTTTATGTACTTATGGGGTACGCGTTTCAATCACAGACAATGCCACAGAATCGCGCGGTCTACGGGGTCAAATGCTGTTCTCAAGTCAAGAAAGACCACCATTGTCGGACGCCGATAAGTATCCCTGTGTTCTAGAACCTGACGAATGGTGAATATGTGGTCGATGCAGCCACGACCAGGTCTAAAGCCAGCTTGGTTCTCTCGAGTTTGTAGTTCACGAGTCTTAGTTAGGCGTTTGATAATTATCGAGGCCAGTATTTTAGATACTATGTTTGTTAAACTAATCCCTCTGTGGTTGTCACAGGATGATTTTGACCCTTTCTTATATATTGGGACGATAAGTGATTGCGACCAGTCAGATAGGATAAAGTCTAATTCCCAGATCTTAGCTAAAATATTAGTCAACCTAATCGCTAAAATTGGATCACCATCCTTAAAGACCTCTGGAGCCAATCCATCTGGACCAGCTGCCCTTCCTCGTTTCAGATTCACTATAGCCTTTTGAACTTCAGCAAGAGTAGGGGGACCTACTTCAATGTTCCATTCACACTGTCTGGGAATGGAGGGTAGTTGTAGAGTAGCTGAAGGCCGGTTGAACTGTTCTCTGAAATGTTCCGCCCATCGTTCTAAACGTCTGGACTGGGAGCAGATGAGAGTATCATCTTTTTCCGAAATAATCTCACTTACACTTGACTTATTAATTCCAGTTTCTTTTATTAGTCTGTAAAGCTGTCTTGTGTTCCCTGTGTTTGTATTTCGTAATGAACATTATTCGTATACACAATTTTGCTTCCACACATTTTTATAGTAAACCTTGGTCAACCGATCAGAAAGATTGCGTATAGCCATTTGTCAGATCAATGTCTTTCATCTTGTTATCACACTAAAGTGCTTCTATTTCAGTATCGTATTAATCGTACCAATATCGTCTGAGATTAACGAAATGAATCTTCACAATGAGTAAGACATAGTGTTCGTTCTGTTCTCTTACCATCTTATCTTGTTTTATCCACTGGGAACGTCTAGTTGATTTACAATTAAAATGAGTGAACAATCATTCGAATAGTCACAATGTTATTGTTCACCCCCCCAAATGCCCTGGTACGGCCGATAGTGCAGAGAGTCCGTTTTCCGTCTCGAAATGCTCCCACATGGCCACGCGTATATAGCCTATGCCAGGGAAGTCCTACTCACTGCCTTCTCGTTGCATTACTGTTGTTTACGAAATTGAGAGGACGAAAATCGAATGTCCGGCGCTTTAACCGTGTTGGTGGACATGGAGAACCCACCCACGGGAGTTGGAAAGCCCTGATTCCAAACCAATGGTGCACAAAGGCTCCTGTATCCTGAAGGAACAAATGGCGTATGAACCGATCGTTGCTCACCGGCTACCATGGGATTGCATTTCCTTACGGTACTCCACTGCCTTGTGGATCAGCCCTTCAGATCGAAGGTTCCGGGTGTGACCTCCTGAGAAAACCACCTGCTTCGGTTTGGGCACCTTGGCAGTATCACAGCCTTCACAAATAGAATGATTTATGTGGCGCATATCTATTTGGTGCCCCCTTGTATCAGTATTTGTGTGTTCAAATAAATAAATAAACCCTCTCTCCTAGAAATGAATCTGAGACAAAAGTGAGCATAATTAAAAATCACCCAATTCATAACTAATTGGTCTTAAAAAGTTTTCAGTGATTATTGAACATTGAATTCAGGACTTCGGCAATCCATTATTCTGTTGTTTACTACAACAGTTTCGTTTTTGTAAGAGTTGGTGTTGTTCGTATTTCCAGTCTTCCTCTGGTATTAAATTCTCGGTTTTAGGATTTCATTGTAAGCGTTTTACCTGTCAACACTGGTCACACCTCAGTAACTGAATCATTTAAACGTAACGATTTTACATTGATAAACATTTGTTTGAATTCAAAAGAACAATTTAAACTATTGTTTATTTAATTTTATTATATTGCGAATTGTCACATTAGATACATGGAACAACAGGCAGCCAATGATGTGAAATTAAACAGCGTTATAAACCAGCCCAATCATCTTCATCGTCATCAAACTTCTGACCCTGTCAATTCTGTTATTCATTCCACACTAAAAAATAAACCGAATTTTGAAATGAAGTCAGAGACAAATGTAATATATAATTATAATACAATATCCAACTTAAGTATATGGGGATGTGAATTCGCTCCTACAGTACGTGAATCGATGAAATCGTGGAATTGTTCGGTGCAATTTTGGTTGGCCAATTATTTTTATAGACGTTGCAAAGCTTCACGAAATATACGGCAAGTGATTCATTTGGGCGATTCATTCTATTTTTTAATCCCTTATCAATTAAGGAACTCAATTGATGCCCGAGTATTTTGTATTAGTGATTTGTTTGGAATTTTCTTCCTAATGAATTCATTATGCTTTGCGAATAAGTCATATGTTCTATTAAGGCTTAATAATACTGTTTAATCCCACGAACCAAAATAATTGATGGGGTGTCTAGACCTGTTAGGGATTGATAATTTCTACCATTTATATAAAGCTTTTTGGTTGTGGTCCAAAATTATTATTCAACAATCTAACGATTTGGACACCATTTAGTCTTGTTTTTTTGATATATAATACCTGTGTCAATTATTCTTTTCATTCATTCTTTTTATTATGTAAATTTCTACAGGACATTATGGACAATGATGGTTAGTGCCTATTGGCATGGTTTACATGCAGGTTATTATTTATCCTTTCTGGTCATCCCACTTGCATTAGTTGGTGAGACAAGTCTAAAAAATTTAATGAATTTATGCGCAAATAGTCTACCAACTGGTAGTGTATCATTTATTTCATGGTTATTAAAAATGCGTGTCTTTGAATATTGTTGTATGGGGTTTTTATTATTAGACTGGGAGACTACCATTGCTTATTGGTCCAGTATTTATTTTTGTATTCATATCGTTTTAATTGGATTGATTATTTTCGACTATTTTCTACGACTTATATTACCAGCTAAAGCATTTAAAATTGTATCTACATTAGATTCATCTACTGTTTCATCATTATCATCTGATATGTTTGTTGTTAATAATGACACAGTTGGTGATCGATCATCAACGCTTCATTCTCATCATCGTCCTAATTATAAATCAAAAATGTAAATTATTGCATCTACATATATTACATAAAAATCTTTAACTATAATTTGATAATTATTGAACAATGAAAATAGCATTTTGTGTTTCCCCCTCTTTTTTTTTTGAAAAAAAATTGATTTCATTATTTTCATTTAACAATGTTTATTTTATCCTCTTCATAGATAGAGTTAGTCATTTTTTCCACTCTCTAAGTGTTATCTTGATATTTTTATTTAGGTGTTATTACTTTAGTTGTTCTCTGTTTCGTATTGTCAATTCATTTCATTCTGGTTTTATTATTATTATGATTATTGGGATTTTACCGCTTTCTTATCTGATGTTCACGAATATATATATATATGTCCATCATGGAAAGCACTGCGAAATTGTGGCTTTGTATTTTATAAAACAACAATAATATGAGTATCAAAAAGGATAATTATGTGTTGAATTATTCTTATCAGTTACCCTTTTTCTTCTTTTTTTGTAGTATTTTCTTTTATAAAATTTTCTTTCTTCAAAATACATTAATTTGATACTTATTAATTTCAAAGAGAAGTATTCTCAAATGAACAAATATGTTTCCTACTAACAATTTAATTTGTATTATGATGTTCAGCAATTATATACGCATACAGTTTTTTTCTGATTATCTCTTCTGATATAATAAGAGTTGTTTCAAATTATATGAAGTAGAAAAAAAGAAGAACAAGAAAACTTTGAAAGAAAAGCTTTTTTTTACTTTAAATTTATTTTCCTCTTTTTTAAAATTACAAACTTTCAAATGGATACTTATGAATAACCTTATGAAATTCCCTATACAACATATGTATTATCTGTTCCCTCAGAGATAAATATCTAACAACAATTTAGTAAAATTAGTGGATTTATTTACCTTGTTCTTTATCAGAAAATTAATACCATAAGTGTCTTTTTTAATGTAAGGGGTTAGGAGAGAATTTATACATTTATTCATGGTTATTTACTTATCGTACAAGAAATGCTTCGTGTAGAAAAGCATTAACAAGTTATATCGTACAAATTGGAGTGATAATGTTGATAAAAAATTAGAAAACGGTGACGGAAAAAAGAAGTGTAGGATGATCTGGTCAAAATTTGTAGAGCAACGATCCATTTGAATTACTCCATCGGACATTTGAAGCGTCTTCTATGATTTTTATCTCATTGAAACCAGCCTTCTCAATTTTACAGGTTTTAATATCGTGCCACTGATTCCGTAAATTTGCAGATGCAATTAAGAAAAGAGGACGGTAAGTTGTGCTCCGATAATAACAACTGTGATTTTGTTTTTCGTTAGAAAGTAGGTTATGTTCATGGGAAATATGCAGAAGACAACCACTTTTATCCTACTTGTAATCGAAGAATTCTAATTGGCTACCCAAACTATTACTAATGCGTAGAACCCAGAACGTCCATCTAGATTTTCAGCCACTAATACGTCTGTCGCAGAAGTTTGACAGAAGCTACATATTTAATGGTAGTACTCAGTCTATGTTCCTCCTCCTAGTTTTGTCTTATCATTTGTGCGGAGATTCCTTTCCAATAGGAAGCAGTAAGTATAATCCGTTTTTTAGAGCCTTTAAGGATGGAGCTTCATGAGAGTGTGTCGATGTAGAAAGTTTAGCTCCATTTTCGGCCATATTTTTTGGGATTTTCACTTTAAATCAGTCTAAGCGTCCAAGATTTAAGAGCAGTATCTTGTCTTCTGAGATGGTCGGATTCAGTTTCTCATCGTCCACTAAACTAAATTTAGTTTAATTGGTTATTTTTTTAATCAAATGGCGCACAACTGTCATATTTGAAAATCCATGTTTATCGTTCGAATTATCGGTTATTTCCTACGGTCTAGTCTTATGTCTTTCATAACCCTTCCAACTAGAAGTGTAATATAAGAGTTGCTTGTATCAATTGTGGTACTGTTTTATACTGTCTCTTGTTGTATGATGTACGTGATTTTTTGACGGGTTTTCAGTTGTTCACTAAAACAATACATTTGATTATCCAAATAATTAACAGTCACAATTTGAAACTGAAAGTTCAACAAAAAAGCCTTTCAGAATTTAATCATGATAGCTACTCACAATATGGGAATATTTCACGAATTCTTTAAACGTTAGTTGTTTTACATTCTAACTGTCTGATTTGGTCAAATATCTAATGGATATAATTTACGTTATCAATTTTGGTTGTCTCATCTGTATTCTCATTACTTGATGGTAAATCAAGAAAAAGATATCACTTTTACTGTTCGAATAAAACTCAATTACTTCCGATGTGTGTACAAAAGAACAACTAGGTTTTATACCATAATTTCTTTAATTCATATGATGTGGAAACTTATTTTATTGATCATGTTTGTTGTATCAGCTGCTGTTCATCATTACAATATAATCTTTAAATATAAACAGAAAACTGTATAGATACTTTACATGACATGTTAACAAGTTTCCCATTTTTCTCATTTTCTTTATTCCGGAAATATGATGTCAGATATGCATATATATATCGTTAAGTTGTATAGTTTTCGCTTTTTCTCAATTGTATGTAAATATGTCGGCTGTTGTTTAAGAGAATTCGAATGATTTCATACTTACAATCCTAATGAATGAAATAATCTTCAAACCTGACTTCAAGTCACAATAATTTTACTGTTCAAACCAAAAAATAAGGAGTAACATCATTGCATTAAGTCAGTCAGTCAGTCGGGTCATTGCATTAAAGTCGTAGAGATACATTTTGATCATTCACTTATTTGAAGCAATAAGTTAAAGTTTCTAGAAAATTAATAACAAACTTTTACTATATTAAGCAACCATTTTAAAACGTGGCTATTCGAATACTTCACATTGTAACTGTAAGTGTAAGATGAGATATCTTGTATTGTAATTTAATAAACTGTTCTGAAGTTAACATGAATTTGTAATGATTTTACTGGTCGATGATCAACTTAATTTATGAAGCAATGTGATTGAAATTATTCATTAAACTGTTAATTTCTGTGTGCACGACAGATTTCCATATAACATGACGAGTAATGCACTTTAACAGGAGACCATATATTCTTTCTTAAGAAGTCTGTACTTATTTGAACGAATGCAACATCAAAACATTGGTTTTCTGTAATACAGGACGAACCATTGTTTTCTGTAGAGGCTGATAAAGTACTTAACGAATTTTAAATTCAGGATATCTATGTATAGTCTATTCCTTTTAAAGAGTTTTCAACGACTGAAACCCTTCACTTAAAACTAATATATATATATATATATATATATATATATATATATATATATATATATATATATATATATATATCCATCATTTACAAGTTGGCTTTAGGGAATCTATTCAAAGAACGGCTGCATCTATGGCCGTGATTTTAGCAAAACTATTTACAAGAAATCATCAAAGAATAGTTTGCATTGTAGATAGCAAAATAAGATTGATGCAGAATAGTATGAATTCATCTTATTTCGCTACGATCTCAGCTCCTTACAACCTGTAATATTTTAAAATCAAAGTAATAATGTATATAGACATACTTATAAATACGAAGGTGATTAGAAATGATTATGTGTATCATGATTTTGTGAAGATTCCAACAGGGATAATAAGATAAAATTTTTTGTTTCAGATGAATAAACAAATGAAAACTGCATTTACAAGAACTTATCTTTCAGTTAAACTAATTTTGTCCAAAATCCCATGTTCTTTAATACAATCATAGATTGGTAGGTATCCCTTTCATGTTACCACCAACTGCGTATGCAAATTCACATGTATCTGGCAAAGCAGTTACTGTAATGCGTGCTACTTTTATTGATATAAGTAGTATATGACGAGTCAGGAATGTAATGTCTAGCATCAGAAGATGGAGGAAGATCAAGAAAGCAAGAGTGGGAATAGAATGCAATTTGTATGAAAATGCAAGGACAATGAAGTCTGAGGCATTTTGAGACAGTTAGTGGACATTTTTCAAATTAACGATTTAATATATGGTTCTCAGATTTTATTGAGATGCTCCGTGTTCTGTTCACTACAGTTACATTGATATAACAGGAAGGAGGGCCTACGTCTAATTTAAAGAACATATTCCAAAAACTCTAAGGTCAAATGTATTAAAAGCACTCAGCAGAACCCTCTCGAGACATCTTGATACGGGACATTAAGTGTATACAGTGAAATCTTTCAAAGTGAATACTAAGCAACCTGACACTAATCTTCTGAAGCCACAGAGATAAAACGTCTAGAACCAAATCTGTGCGTCCAAAAAGAAACAGTAATTTTTCTTTTCCCTGGTAATATTACATCATTTTTATTGCATCATTGATTATTTCAGCACTTTTACAAGTTTTGATTGCGTGACTATCATTTTTCTTTAATTCATAATTTTCATCCGAATTGACTGATTCCAATTCATACCCTTCTTCATTACCATTTGTCTGTATTCAATTACTTCATTACACAATCATGTGATTGAGAACCTAACGAAATATAATGTCATATTAATTCTGCATCAATCTATGTTTTTGTTCTCTTCAAGATAATAAAAGGAACCATGTGTATGAAGTTTGCATTATGTTCGTTTGAAACGCCTAGTCTTTAAGTAGATAGTATATTCAAAAGTTCTATTTAACTCACATTTGTGCTAGACTCTATATTGATAATGACTGATTAAAATGTTTATTAGTGCTTAAAACAGAGAGATAACGTCAAATCAGCTTGAATAGTTATATCACTCCAGTCTAATTATTTGTTAATTTCATGAGAATGCTTAATTAAATGTAACTGAATGATGCTAAATTTTCTTGGATCTACATACCTTTATTGCTTTACACAACTATTTCATATAGATAACAGTTTATCACTATATTTTTTGATAAATAATCACGAATGAAAATTTGTGAAAGCAATACTTTTTGTTTAGTTCATAACTAATTATTTCATTTACTCAATAAAACTGATAATAGTAAAGTCTAATAATTAGATTTATGTGATTAAATGTCTCAGCTTATGAACTATAACCAATCATGCTAACACAAACATACTTTCTTCCATCATTTCTAGACTTTTTAGCTGAAGGTCATGCTTATTCTATTTATACCATGCTAGAAACAAATTTCCCCTCTCGATCGATTAACTGGTTAAAATGAACGAGGCTGAGACAAAACATAAAGATGACACTATTTAAACTGCACACCAGCCAAATGGTCGGGTATTCAATTTACTCAACGATATATGAAATATACAAAGCTCTTGTCAACTACATTACACTTGATCGACACCACGGGATTCTCCCATCAAGAAACCTTTGGTAAAAAACAGTAGAAAGCTGAACGAACTGTCACAGATTTTAATGTATCAGTATTAGATGTAGAGTTCAAATAGGATATCTATTGATACATTAAACTTTACAATCTCATATGTGAAAAATTTATTTTTAAATCCATATAGTTTCCGAAAGATTTAGATAATTGTGACTATTGATAATGAAATGTTAGGGTATCTAGAAATTGTCTCATTGAATTAGTTTTAATATCCTGAGAGCAGTTACAAAATGAACACTACAGACACTGTCAGGCTGATGAAAAATGAAAACAGCACTAAAAAAATACAACTACATTATTTGGAAAGTCGTAATTCGTAGATTATTTTAGTCAGACGTATTAATAATTTTGAGCGTAAAATGCAATTACAATGAACAATCAAATGTAATGGGATTTTAGAATACAAGATTCATTTCGAAGTACAGAACCCAATAGTCATATATCTTGTAAAAATAAAGTAATTAAATAGTATGTAAAAAGCATAAATACAATAATAAGTGGCATAACTACAATATCATGAGCGTTTTGGAGAGAAAAATATCAGATTTACTCCATAGACGGTTCATTAAACAGTGGTTGTATGGTTCCGTGTACACTTCGATCTAGCGACTAGGCTTACTATATACCTTAAAGTGGATTGTTAATATTTAAATAGCACTGTATTTTAAGTTAATTGAAGGGTTTGACAAAACTAACCATAAACGAACTTAAACGTACGAGGGGTGCCACAACCTTATTATAGATTACAGGTTTTGAATCCAGCTCCACTTATTATTAAAGGCACATGGGTAAGATCACCATCACTCACAGTCAGTGTGACCCAAAAACGAGTACACAAAACTTGTAATTCGTAGATTAATTACATTGGATTCGATCATTTCAATTGGTAATGACATTCACTTTCTGAATATTTAGGAAATTTTATCCGCTTTGTCAAAACTTATAAAATATGTTTCGATTTTTTATCAAACTCCTAATTACTATTTTACTTAGTGTGAAAAAATCTTGTCATAACAAATAATTTCACTGATTGAAATCATAAGTCAATTGAAGGTAAACCACCATGGGAAACCTGAAAGCACTGGACGGCCGTTTCGTCCTAGTATGGAACTCCTCAGCAGCGCGCATCCATGATCCGGCATCCCGCGAGATTCGAACCCAGGACCTATCAGTCTCGCGTCAGGCTCCCAACCACTGAGCCGGCATCTAACGGTGTTAATGTCTAACCTCAACCAATCCACGAAGTTGCGCCACCGTACACCATTGTCTTCAGTGAGTTGACATCTAATAACAAACCTGGTTGTAAACTCCACCGCTGAGGAGTCCCATACTTGAACGAAACGGTCGCCCAGTGTTTCCAGGTTTTCCATGGTGGTCTAGCTTCAAGTGACTCATGATTTCGATCATTGAAGTTTCCAAAATCTCCACAAAAACCCTTCTGATAACAAATAATGAAAAATGCTTCTTTTCAAAATAAATTAATTTGGACCATATTACTAACCTATTTGTATATGATTAGCTAATTAGAATATATGGTTGGTGTGTATTAGATCAGGAAATGAAGTAAACCATCTTATCATCAAAGGTAAACAGCCTGCAAATTAAAAAGAAAAAAATAACCAATATGAACTGAGGCCCAATAAAACCATCTACAATAGCTTATATCCTAAACTCAAACTAATGCCTTAAACAAACTTCTCTTAAATACCGTGAAATAGACTATTGTAGTGAACAAGAACACAAGTGGGAGGCAATCGAATGTATTTCGTCACGAAATCACAGAGCATCTCAATAAAATCTGAGAACCATATAGTAAATAATTCATTTGCAAAATATCAATCCATCATCTCAAACTTAAGTATTCCTTTTGCAAATATCCGTTCATTGTCTCAGATTTCATTGTTCATACATTTTAATACCAATTGCGTTCCGTTTCCATTCCTTCCTTATCAATCTTCTACTGAAATACATTCTACACTTGATCACTGTTATATATTACTTATGTAGATATAAGTAACTCACATCACACTATTATTTAAAAATAAACAAATAAATCACCTGATATTTTATCGATTAATCAATTACTTTGAATATTATCACTATACATACTATTGGGAAATTTCTTGCAAGACTATTTATCTAATAATTATTCA